CATGCCTCTCCCTTTAACAGGAAACAGAAGCTTTTCCCAGAAACCCCTCAGCAGATTTCCCTTTCATCTAATTGGTCAGAACTGTGTCACATGACCACTCCTAGTTACAAAAGAATTTGACAAAACAAGTATTTGGCTTTCTAGCTTCTAGAGCGGGAGCTATCAGTGGTGAAGAGGTTAAGAATGGCTTTTGAGTTTGCCTGCAGTGCCTGCCATGCTAGAGATAATCACTGTTAACATTTTAAGGTTTATTCTTCTAGTCTGTGTTGCCATATTTCTCTCTCTGTGTATTTATAAGACCCATGTCCCTATAGATATGACCCCCGGGATCATGTTTGTACTAATCTTGGTACTGATTCCAGTTCTGATTTCTCTCTCACAGGGTTAAACCTCTTTCTTGCTTTCAAATACGCTATGAAGGAACATTTGAGGACAGCAGGTGCCGGCAGGAGCTGACGCTGAAATCTTCTCTTCGTGGCTTAATGTGGAATTGCAGATCTCACCAGCCCCAGGACTCTCTGGGTGATTCAGAACACTGATGGGTGGGGCGTTCTTCCCACGTTCCATGCACTGGTGAGAAACAAGACTTTCTCTTCCAGATTACCATTTTATCTTCTATGTTCTGCAAGCCTTTGAATTTCCAGAGTTTTGAGGAAATAATAGATCCTAGTGCAATGGCATGACTAAGAACATCTGGCTACCATTTTGTTTTCTCCTAAGTTCTCTGGCGTGTGGCTCCAAGCCTGACTCTCTAGCACCTGTCACAGAGTATGGAAATGGCTTCAGGATATGGCTTGTCTTCTAACCGACTGGCTTACCCTTTAACAAAGACTCCTCCTGCCTTTAAAGAAATGGCCAGTAAAACTGTAACGAGAGCCCCAGGGGATAAATAAAGCACACTGACATGTACGCTACTTTGGCACAAACACTTAAAAGAGTTATGTTGGTAAGCAGGAGCGGTCGATGGAGCAGAATTCCAGCGTTTCACAGAGAGTTGAAGGACTTGATGACAAAGCCTTTGGAAATATTTTGGGTTCCTGGAAACTTTCGGGGAACCAACGTCTCCTTTCCTTCCAGGAACTGTTTTGTGACTTTAGGATTCGCACTGCTCACAAAGTTATCATCATCCTGCCTTGCTCTTCGTCCCCCATAAAGTCTTGAGTGCCAAGGAGAGAAGAAGGAAAATTTAAAATGTACATATCCTCCCTTCCAGGGCCACTCTCCAGCCTGCCTCCTCAAAGTGTGGTCCGTGGACCAGAAGCATCAGCATCCCTTTGTTAGAAAAACAGGATCTCAGGCCCCACTCCAGTTCTGCTGAACCAGACCCTGTGGTTTAATGAGATCCCCGGGGGGTTTGTGTTGTGCGTGAGTGAATGCTCTAGAATATTCTTCTGTTTTCCATGCTGATAGCAGAGCTTGTTTTTAAAACTAGAAAGGAAAACATGTTCCTGGCTTTAGGACTTTGCATCTGCCATTGTCTCCTCTTAGGACACCTTTCCTCAAAATTGGACTAATTTCTACCCTTTCTTTGAGTCTCAGCTTAGTCATCACTTCCACCAGGACGCACTCTTTAGATCTCTTCAAGTAGGATTAGATGTCACCTCTGCGTGTCCTCTAAGGCTTCATGCTTTCTAGCTCTGTATTATAATTTCTTTTCTTCTTGAGTGTCTCCAATTAGATTCTGAGCTCCGTAAGTGCAGGGAAGTATAGTCAGTGGATTCTTCATAAATATTTTGAATGAAAGCGTGAATGAATGGTTACTCTCCATTTTGCAGATGAGGAAACTGAGGCTCAGAGAGGTTAAGTAACTTTCCCATCATTACACAGCTGTAGCGGGCTGAGCTGGGTTTTGAACTCTTGACCAGAGAGCTCCTCTTCCAGGCCACTAGTCCTTCTCCTTCTCTTTCTTTGACCCCAGGAATTCTTAGTTTGGGGATACAGAGAAAATACTAACTATTTACTTTGAGTCAACTTATCATTTAGGATTCAGTTCGCTCAGTAATGATCCTGTGTTGAACAATTTGATCACAACATTAAACTTGATTGATGGAGGCTCAGTCTTTGTTATTTGTGGCAGCCACAATTTGGGAGGGGGGCTGACACATGTTTACAAACAAGAGTTCATTTATGATAGGTTGGTCTTCAATGCTTGGCTTGTCCAGAGGGTTCAATACAGAGGTGACAATTCTAAGGGATATTGAAGGCATGATTTTTACCCATTGCCAATTGTGGTAGGTTAATTGCATCAATGCCTTCAAGAATGGTTTCCATGCTTCCACACCCCTTCCCTGTGACTTTGTAACCCTTCCTTCTCTGACTCTGGCTTGGCCTTGAGAGTTTATTTGGCCAACAGAATGTTAGCAAGCGTGACTCAGAGGTTTCAAAATTGGGTGTGCATCCCTTCTTGCCCTTTGCATGATTTGTCTTGCTCGCTCTTGCACCCCTGCCTCCGCCATAAGAACATGCCCAGTCTAACCAGCTGGAGGGATGTGAGAAACATATGGAGGAGAGTTAAGTCATCCCGTTACACGGGCTGAGGCTATCCTTAATGAGCCACCTAGCCAACTTGTAGCTGACTGCAGTCACATCAGTGAGCCCAGTCAAGATCAGCAGACCTGCCCACCCAACCTGTCAACTC